AAGACAATTAATTTTGTCAACTATTCAACATTGCATCTGGCAAGGGGTGGGAGATAAAGATGGGACCCAAACCTCCACAGACATTTGGTGACTTGTCCAAAGTCACACAGCTTGTAAGTGGCAGAGTTGAGGCTAGGACTAGAAACTGGTCTAGAGACTTTTTTCCACTATTCTTCAGCTGCATTTAAGAATAAGGAGTGGTAAGGGTAGTGGGTAGGAAAAACTTCCAAGTCAGCTTGAATCTCTAGATGAAAGAAATGTGGGTTTTTGTTTTTTTTTTTTTCTTTTTGAAAAAGAGGAATGTCTGCGCTGCCTTGCCAATTTTTTTTCATGGGTGAAAACCAGTGATGGAAGATGCAGAAGTCCAACTTTGCATAAGAAACAATGTGTCTGCTCTGTGTTAGTTAAGGAAATACCCAGAGGCCCTTTAATTCCCACAGGCTAGTTGGGTAACAATATGCCACAATGCATTCCCTTCCCTTCCTTCCAGCCTAACACCTGATAGCCAGCTATTCTGAGCATGTATTTCACCTTTGGAGGGTGTATCTCATAAACAGACAGTAAAGAAGGACGGTGGAGAGAACAGCTAGATTAATCACAGGCTTCAAAAAACAAACCTAAGCCAAATGTGCTCAGATACTTGTTCAGGACAAACTAAAGCTACTTGCCCCCAAACAGATCCATCACACTGAGGTCTCAGGCAGCTTCACTCTTTATAAAAACCTTTTTTTTTCTGATCTCAGAGATTGTCACAAATGGAGGCCAGAAAACACAGCAAACTGTGAAAGGGGAGTGTTAAGGCTCATTTGCAGCCTGAGTGGAGGATTTAACCAGACTGAGGAAAGAATTCCTGGGCAAGGAAGAGAAATGAGTCTGTGTTTTCTCCATGTTTTATCAGTGCACTCCTCTTATATCCCTCACTCCTTGGACTTCACCACATATCTATCTCACTTTACTTCTGAGTCATATCCCATCCCATTGTTTTACCTGTCCGACTCCAGTGTTTGGTCCTTGATATTTGAGATCAGCCTTACCTGTGGATGAAGCTGGAGCCCATTTGAGTTGTGCAGGAAAGATGTCCTTAAAATATCTCTTATTCTTATTGCCATTGTGTTTAAAATCCACTAGTAATAATTCTTTCCTTTGAGTTAAGTATCAAACTCAATTTTTTAAACAAATGCCCATCACTAATATCTTGGTGTGAGATCATTTGCCAGATCGATTTATTTGATAAAAGGTGTCAGAAAAATCACGAAATTCCTAGATGTCTAGACAGGAGACAGAGGAATAGAGGGAGATGGGAAGATGAGGAAGGGCTAGAAAGGCGCAAAAGGAACAGGATATAAAGTACAGAAAAGGGAAGTTAGAAGCACCAAAGATTAACTTGCCCTAATTTGCCAGTTTGGCAGAAGTGTTCTTATCATACTCTGACCCTGCTCTGTCCTTCTTGGAATAAAGCTGACTTGGAGGCAGTCTGAAATGAGCTACGAGGAGCCCACTCACATTTCTCTCAGACAAGTCATCCTATCTCTGCTTTAGTTTACACCCAGAGTGGACAAAATCATTTATTCCTTCATCTCCAGAAAGACCCTTAGCCCTTAGCCAGTGAGCTTAGTAGAAAGAAAAGTACTTCTAAAGCCAAAGGCATGAGCTCAGTCTTCATATGGGCCAGTTAAGCAATGTGCTCCATGGGGACTCGGACGAGACAGTATGTCTGGATTTGCTCAAACTCATCCCTAAGCAGTCCAAAGTGGGCCACCAGCATCATCTGCCTAGACAAAGTTTGTTCCAAAAGGACACCTTTGATAATGGAATTCTATCTAAGTGAATATATAGCCCCCACCTCCCACCCAGAATTCACATATAAATGAAGTCATTCTGATCCCACTATCATTATTAACAAAAAGGCAACATGCTGGTTAATAATTACAATCAGAATGGACGCCTCCTCCCCCAACAACAACAACAACAAAACTCTTTGAAAGAATGCTGCAAATAATCAAGATCTGCTGAGCTTGGCAGTTTCCAATAGTTTTCATCTAGCAAGGTGTCCAAGTGAAATGCATTGCCAACAGTGCAGGAAAATTCATTCCACAGAAGTACACTGAAATCCTAAATGTCACCAGTATGGTTCCATAGTCTTCTCCCAATGATTGAAAATGCAGCCTGTATTTTCTCTTTTGCCCAGGTAGGCAGCATTCCAAGATCCCCTGGTCGCTAACCTCATTTTTCCATGCAATAATCCATCAATTGTGCTACTGATGAAACAAACACCCCACCCCACCCCCACTGACTGGTGGTGTCGACATTTGTCTCAGCAATGGATAGTATTTCTAAAGAAATTCCCCCCTGTTGGGAGATCTGACAAGGCTGAATCTGCATTAGATGCCTCTCTCCTCTACTTAGGTCAGGCCCACTGAGAGCTCAATTTGTTGCCATAAGGTAGAAGTTTCTCGGGCTGGCTGCAGAGCTGCAACTCAGAACAAATTTATAACTAGAAGCAAATAACAAGTCTAAGGGAATTTGCTACCTGTCACAAACCAAGTCAGACTCACTGTGTTAACTCTGCAGTTGCTAGAAAGTTCTAAATAGTGTGTTCCTTCCCCTTTTAAAATGTTGTCTCTTAAAAGACCTTGCCAATGCTCAAATGCCAAATGTCTTTAGGAAGACAAGAATTTGCCATTGGTGGGAAAAATGTATTCAACAAATATTTCAGTTCTGACCATGTCCAAGTTACTGTAGGGCAGCAAAGAGGTAAATATCATTGTCTCTTGCTTTCCTATTCAGTGACTAAATCAACTTTTCACACTTGAGGTAACAGTGCTTCTACAAGCCCTTCCAACTTGTTTTTCTACTTGAGGTGGGGAAAATTTGACCAGGTTAATCTAACATTCAGTCACAGACACTGGCAGACATTAAAAAACAACCCAACCCAGTGCAAGCTCTAAAAGACTGCCGCTGGGAACAGAATCATTAGAAAGCAATGTTGGCTCTGTGGATGACTTGCTTTTTCAGGCTTTTAGTTTACCAAATGCTTTTCATAAGGAAAGATGAATATGAAGAAACATGATAGCAAAAGGCCTCCTAACAACAGGGATAAGATAGACTTCCACATGGCACCATCAGGGCTAGCCTGGTTTGTGATAGCAAATTCCTTCAGGTTTTTCTTATGCTTCTAGCTGTAAGCACATCTGGCTTCCCTGGTGGCTCAGCAGTAAAGAATCGGCCTCCAATGCAGGAGACTCAGGTTTGATTCCAGGGTCGGGAAGATCCCCTGGAAAAGGAAACGGCAACCTACTCCAGGATTCATGTTTAGAGAATTCCATGGACAGAGGAGCCTGGCAGGCTACAGTCCACAGGTTCGCACAGAGTCAGACACGACATACAAACTAAACAACAACAAACATGTCCTCAGTTATAAGCAATGGGCTTGTTAATAGACTGGGATACTCTATGGGCCTGGGCCTTTTGGTCCTTAGAAAGAGAATGGTCTCTTTTAGAGGTTAGCAGAGAGTCTGGGGTTTTGTTTCAACCATTCAGGAGTAACCTGATATTTAGCTTTGCCAAGGCGCTCTTCTTGGAAGATACCATATTACATAGTGCATATTACAATTCATGGTTATTAAACTCTATATGCAGGAGAACCTGAAGACTTAAAGTCAGCTGAATCGAGTTTGGAAAAGAGAACTCAGGAATAAACTGAATAGATTTTGTTAGCCCATAACAGAGAAGGTTAGGGGAAGGCAGTAAATATTTCCTGGAGTTTAAAGGGCGAAAGGAAGCAGTTGAGGTCAGGGTAAGATTTTTACTTGATATTCGCCAAAGACAATGGTCTTCAGTGTTTAAAGAGGACATATCCAAGACTGTTGAGGCAATATTAAATCTCTAGATAGATAAGGAGATAAAGAGCAATACCTAAGCATTTTAAATCTGTTCAAATCTCTTAGCCCTACTGAATTTCACAGGAAGAAAGTGGGTGACCCTTGAGTACTTAGAAAGGGAAGTGGCAGTTTAAAGAAGCAGTAGAGGTTTTTGGTGGTTCCTCTTCTTACCATAAGGGAAAAGCACCTTACAGACTGATTTGCAAAATATCATTTGCTATTTAGTCAAGGGTACCAAGAAAAACTGTTGGAATTCTTAGTAATTAGTTCAACAACTTGGCTTGAATACAAAATACTAACTCTGAAGGGATCCCCATATCAGCTCTAGTGCCAAAAAACACCTCACTTTAATCTCAAGTCTCAGAGAATTCCCAACATCAAGCTACTGAGACGGCACCTCTCTACAAAGGCTCTGGGAAAAAAAGGTGCCCCAGATATTACCCAATTAAAGTGTCTTATGAATGAATATGCTTCCTTAGTGGCTCAGTGGTAAAGAATCTGCCTGCAATGCAGGAGACGATCCCTGGATGGGGAAGATCCCCTGGAAGAAGAAATGGCCACACACTCCAGTATTTTTTTTTTCGTTTATTTTTATTAGTTGGAGGCTAATTACTTTACAATATTGTAATGGTTTTTGCCATACATTGACATGAATCAGCCATGGATTTACATGTGTTCCCCATCCTGAACCCCCCTCCCACCTCCCTCTCCATATCATCCCTCTAGGTCATCCCAGTGCACCAGCCCCGAAAACCAGATCGCCACTCCAGTATTCTTACCTGGAGAATCCCATTGACAGAGGAGACTGGCAGGCTACAATCCATGGGATTGCAAGAGTCGGACACAACTTAGCTACTAAACCACCACCACCATGAACGGACATCTGTGTGTGTGTGCTAAGTTGCTTCAGTTGTGTCCGATTCCTTGTGACCTTGTGGACTGCAGCCTGCCAGGTTCCTCTGTCCATGGGATTCTCCAGGCAAGAATTCTGGAGTGGGTAGCCATTCACTCCCTCCAGGGGATTTTCCTGACCCAGGGATCAAATGCGAGTTTCTTACATCTACCTGCATGGGTGGTCATACTGAGTATCTTGCAGCTTGTTTTCCTTTGTTCTCCCAGACATATGACATGGAGCACACTTTCTACAGCAATGGAGAGAAGAAGAAGATTTACATGGAAATTGATCCCATTACCAGAACTGAAATATTCAGAAGTGGAAATGGCACTGATGAAACATTGGAAGTACATGACTTTAAAAATGTAAGTTGGATGTTTTCCCCCTGAGGCTTCCCACTTAAAATATTAGAACACTTGAGTCAAGTTAAAAATAGCCTGTAGCCTCCATTTAATTTATAAGAGAAAGCATTCCTTTTGAATTCAAATTTTGCCAGTCTGGGGCCATGACAAATCATGGCACCCATTAATTGTGGCTATTTCAGGAAGTTTTCTTATTTTTTTTTTGTCTGTTTTATAGGGATACACTGGCATTTACTTTGTAGGTCTTCAAAAATGCTTCATCAAAACTCAGATTAAAGTGATTCCTGAATTTTCTGAACCAGAGGAAGAAATAGATGAGGTAGGTAAGAATAATAGTAGTAGTAAAAGCCATAATTTGTTGGGGACTAATTATGTGTCAGACTTTGTACTAAATGCTTTACTCTTATTTGATTCTCACAATGATCCTATAGACAAGTACTATTATTGTCCCCATTTTCAGATGCAAACCAAAAAGTAACTTGCCCAGTGTTACACAATTAGAGAAGAGCAGATTGGGATCTTGAACTCAGACCTTTCAAAAACTAAAATTCATGCTTTTAGGTCCAACATTGTACTTTTTTTTTAGTTTTAGTTTTTTTTTAACTTTTTATTTTATATTGTAGTACAGTTGATTAACAGTGTTGTATAATTTCAAGTGTACAACAAAGTTATTCAGTTACATATATATATATGTGTATATATATATATATACATATATATATATATATATACATATATACACACACACACATTCTTTTTCAAATTATTTTCCCAATTAGGTTGTTACAGAATATTGAGCAGAGTTCCTTGTGCTATAGAGTAAGTCCTTGTTGGTTTTCCATTTTAAATATAGCAGTGTGTACATGGCAATCCCAAACTCCCTAACAGTTCCTTGACCCCTGGTAAACATAAGTTCATTCTCTAAGTCTGAATCTGTTTCTATTTTGAAAATAAGTTTATTTGTATCATTTTTTTAGATTTCTCATATAAGTGATGCCACGATATTTCTCTCTGATTTACTTCACTCAGTAAATTCTCTAGGTCCATCCATGTTGCTGCAAATGGCATTATTTCATTTTCAATAACTGAATAATATTCCACTTTATATATGGACCACAACTTCTCCATCCATTCATCTGTCAATGGACATTTAGGTCGCTTCCATGTCTTGGCTATTGTAAATAGTGCTGCTATGAACATAAGGGTATATACTCATATATCTTATAATAACTTATTTTATATATATATATCTGAATCACTTTGCTGTACACCTGAAACTAACACGTTGTAAATCAACTATATTTCAATAAAAATTAAAAATTAACTTAAGGATAGCAGCCATTAACATTATGTACGTTTGCTTCCAAACCAAAGATTTCTGGTAAGAGTGGTGAGCTACAGGAACAAAATCAATCCTGCCAAATCAAAAGCCCCAAAGCCATTTGGGATCCTCGCTGCTTTTGTCACACTGTGACATTCACCTATTCTAAAGATTTTAATTCAACACTACTATATACAAAATAGATTACCAACAAGGACATACTGTATAGCACATAGAACTCTTCTGATTATTATATGGCAGCCTGGATGGGAAGGAAGTTTGGGGGAGAATGGATACATGTATATAAGTGGCTGAGTCCCTTCGCTGTTTACCTAAAACTATTACAGCATTGTTGATCGACTATACCCCAATGCAAAATATAAAAGTTTAAAATAAGAAATAAAGATTTCAGTTCAACACTACCATATATAAAATAGATAACCGACAAAGACCTATTGCATAACACAGAGAACTATACTTAATATCTTGTAATAAATATATAGCTGAATCACTTTACTGTACACCTGAAAGTAACACAACATTGTAAATCATCTATATTGCTATTGCTTGTGTGTTCAGTCATGTCCAACTCTCTGTGACCACATGTACTATAGACCTGCCAGGCTACTCTGTCCATGGGATTTCCCAGGCAAAAATACTGGAGTGGGTTGCCATTTCCTTCCCCAGAGGATCTTCCTGATGCAGATATTGAACCCACATCTCTTGTGTCTTCGGAGCATTGGAAGGTGGGTTCTTTATGATTAAGCCACCAGGGAAGCCCAAAATCAACTATACTTCAAAAAAAAATTAAAATTAAGGGACTTCCCTGGTGGTTCAGATGGTAAAGAATCTGCCTGCAATGTGGGAAACCCAGGTTCGAGACCTGGGTTGGGAAGATCCCCTGGAGTAGGAAATGGCAACCCACTCCAGTATCCTTGCCTGGAGTTGCAAAGAGAGGGACACAACTGAGCTACTAACACTGTTGGTCTAGTGGCTAAGACTCCACGCTCCCAATTCAAGGGGCCTGAGTTCCATCCTTGGTCAAGCAACAAGATTCCACATGCCACTACTAAGACCCAGCACAGCCAAGTAAATAAATATGGTACATATACACAATGGAATATTACTCAGCCATTAAAAAGAATTCATTTGAATCAGTTCTAATGAGATGGATGAAACTGGAGCCCATTATACAGAGTGAAGTAAAAATTAAAAAATATTTCAGTTCATTCATCTTACCATTTTATGCTGGACTGCTAATGGAATGATGTATCCTTAATATCTCTAAGTAAAGAAAAAGCAAAGAAGGTGAGAAGTACAGTGTAATACAAATTCTCTGAAAGCACACTCCTAGGTCAGGGTAAAATAACCTAGGGCATCAGTGCAACAGCTTAGTGGCCTTTGTAGGCCTAGTGGGAGCTGGAGGATTATTGCTTAAAATACAGCCATCAATAAAGCCCAGGAGACTCTTCATTTTTCCATGATATTCTGACAATAATTATGGTATGTTGCTGTCAGTGGAGGAAGGAGGGGGACTTTAGCTAAGGACGTATTGTGACTATAGCCAGAAGAAACAAATGGGTTGGGTTGGTTTTCTTAGCACCTTAACTGGAAAATCTAAAATGAAATTATGCCAATAGCACAGTGACCACTCTATTATAAATACCTTTTTCTTTTTCTTCTCTCTCTCCTAGGTTCTTTTACATTTTTCTCTTGTCCAACTCTCCATCTTAATTCTCGTCTACCCATTTACCTTTTTCTGTTACTTTTCTTATTATTTTAGGGGATGAGGTGGTGTGGGATCATTTTTACTTTACATTATCCAAGTCTTATGGCTGTTACTGGCTCCCACAGACATGCTATTAGTCTCCTTATGTCCAAAGAAGTTACAGACTCTGGTTCCTAGAATTTCTAAGAAAAGGATTTCCCCCAAAGAAGATGCTCTGCTCCCAAGGTCTATGGCAAGTGAAAAGTTTGGGAGCCTTTTTTTTTCCCTAAATAAGCCTAATTTGGATGCTTCCCTAGTGGCTTAGATGGTAAAGAGTCTGCCTGCAATGCAGGACACCCAGGTTCAATCCCTGGGTTGGGAAGATCCCCCAGAGAAGGGGATGGCAACCCACTCCAGTATTCTTGCCTGGAAAATCCCATGGACAGAGGATCCTGGTGTGCCCCAATTCATGAGGTCACAAAAAGTCAGACACAATTGAGCTAATAACACACACTCAATTTGGATGCATCTGAGGAACAGAGCAACTTCTAGGATATTAGAGACTACTATAGGAGGGTAAGGCTACTATATAAGAGTAAGATGAAAGGATAATGAATAAGATAAAAAGCTATTATATCCAATATTATATGCTGCTTTTTACAGTAAATAATGTAAGCCTTTGAGTTGGGCCAGCCAACACTGACATTCCACACTGATATGACAAGATTTCTTTTCTGGAAAAGTTAAAGGCAGGGACTTCCCTGGTAGTCCAGTGGTTAATACTCCACACTTTCACTGAAGGGGGCATGGTTCCCTAGTCAGGGAACCAAGTTTCTACATGTGGTGCTGCCCCCTAGAAAAGTTAAAGGCAAAGGCCCATAATGTCTCATTTTGGCCATAATTTATTCTTCACTCTGCCAGATTGTCTAAACAACGTAAACGTTCATCTCATGATAGTGAAATTGCTTTGTCTTCAAGAAAATCCTATTTTTTATACTCAGGCTACAGATTGTTTTTATGAGACAAATTTGTGGTCCTGAATGAGAAAAATCCTTTATTCTGTACTTCCCTCACCATTGCATCCATAGTTTTTACATGTTAAACATGCAGAGCAGGTATATAAATAGCCCTGATTTTGCTAACAAAGCTAGTCAGTGTACCAACCTCATTCTATACAGTCCCTTTCAGTGCATACCAGTCTTTACAGACCCCAGGGCAAAGGAGCTAAGATGAAGAGTTTTAAATGACTAGGAGAAAAATTACACATAACCATATTTCAAAGAATAAAAACAGTGAAACCATAAAACTAGAAAGAAACAAGAGAGAAAGGGAAAAGTCTAATTAAGATTACAGGGTGAAGTGTCAAAGCCCAAGAGACAAATGATTAAGAGATAAGTATACCAGACTTCCCTGGTGGTGCTGTGGCTAAGACTGCACACTCCCAATGCAGGGGGCATGAGTTCGATCCCTGGTCAGGGAACTAGATCCTACATGTTGTGACTAACAATTTGCATGCCTCAAAGAAGATCAAAGATCTCGTGTGACATAACTAAGACCTGATGCAGCCAAATAAGTAAGTTTTTTTTAAAAAATATGTTTAAAAAGAGCTAGGTATACAAGACAACTACTTCCAACATGATAAACAGAAAAGAAGGTAGTGTTCTTGACAATAAAAAAAAAGGTTGCCTAAATAAAAAGCATTCTGTCGGACAAACTCCAAGCATCTAGAATGAAAGGAGTAAAACAGTAGTAAGGGCATTGTAATCACAAGTTAGAGACTTAACTTTGAAACAAACAAAAAATAAAAACATCTTTGGTACTACAGCTATACCATTAACAGGCAATCTTGAAAACCAAAATATTAGGTCCTGGTGCTACTTAACTGATTTCACCAATTTGGATTATAGGAGTCTTTTTCAGCTTGAGATAAAATTCAGCTTGCAATCCTAGTCATAAGCCTAAAATAAGGCAGGCACTCACAACATCCAAGGGGTTCCCCCATGGGTCAACAGGTAAAAGAATCTGCCTGCAATGCAAGCAACACAGGACATACAGGTTCAGTCCCTGGATCAGGAAGATCCCCTGGAGGAAGGCATGGCAACCCACTCCAGAATTCCTGCCTGAAGAATCCCATGACAGAGGAGCCTGGTGGGCTACAGTCCATGTGGTCACAAAGAGTTAGACACGACTCAGTGACTGAGCATACACACACAACATCCATTTAAAAGAAAACAAATATAAATCATTCAGGGTTCCAGAAGGCCAAATTAAAACATACTTGGCCCAGTAAGAGACCCAGAAAATGATTGAGAGCCTTCCCGACTTTAAGAGAAATTGAGCAGAGAAGGCTGCTGTTTCAGTGAGCAGGCTTACTGTTAGAGGGGAGAAGGTGAAACAAGTTGCTAACTCTCTCAAGGGCACCTACTGTATGCACGTCTCAGAGCTACTTCACAGGAAGCTCTGGGACTGTAATTATTATTCAGACTTGAAATATGTTTTCCAGTATCCCATGATGTCACACTCACTTTATTAATTTCTCTGCCTATCCCCACCCTGAACTACTTTCTTCTCTCAGAATGAAGAAATTACCACAACTTTCTTCGAACAGTCAGTGATTTGGGTCCCAGCAGAAAAACCTATTGAAAACCGAGACTTTCTTAAAAATTCCAAAATTCTGGAGATTTGTGATAATGTGACCATGTATTGGATCAATCCTACTCTAATAGCAGGTATGGCTTCCCCCTCCTCCTCCTCCTCCTCCTCTTCATCTTCTGCTTTCCAAAGTCAGTAATGGGTTAATGTTACCAGCATTCAGAGACTACATTTCTATGAAAACAAATGATAAGCTTGTATCTTCTTAAATGAAACTGTATATGCTGACGGCCAGTGAAGAGGAGATTTTTCACAGCCAAGTTATAAATCAGATAAATTAATGCTGACAGTCTATTAAATATCCCATCAAAGGTAATGCCACCCCAATGTGAGCAGTGATAGCTAAAAGCTAACCTGTCTCTCTTTGTACATCTATATTCATTGCAGTCGGGCTACCAAACTATGGCTCAAACCACTGTGTGCCCAACCCAAGAACGGAGGAGAGGAGAGCCAAAATAATGCCCTATTGTCTCAAGAAGGATTTTCTATGTCAAATGATGGCATTCTCTTCAGAAGAAAGGACGGTCACTGCAATACCAATTTCTTTGTGACTATTTTAGGAATCAGTATAAAAGCAATTGGATGCTAAAGGTCAGAGTTAAAGACTCCAGATCTCAACTTCCAGTCAGCCCACAGAGAGGGCAAATGTCCCTGGACATCTCTTTCTGCCTAACTAGCATAGAATTTGGCCTCCCTCATTCTGGACAGCATAGATTACTATATTGCCCAAGAGAGAAGGAGCTAATCAATGTGGGCATCTATTAGTACTCTTTGGCCTTAAAAAAAAATTGTGGTTTCCTGGATTGGACACTACAACTTCTGCTTTAACATCCTTCTCCTAAATGATGTTAGTGGAGATAATGATGAAATTTGAGTAAAGTTTGTAGTTTAGTAAATTTTATTGTACCTATAAAGGGCTTCCCTGGTGGCTCAGTGTTAAAGAATCTGCCTGCCAATGCCTGCAATGTAGGAGACGTGGGTTCAATCCCTGGGTCAGAAAGATCCCCTGGAGAAGGGCATGGCAAAGCACCCCAGTATTCTTGCCTGGGAAATCCCATGGACAGAGGAGCCTGGTGGGCTACAGTCCATGGGATTGCAAAGCGTCTAACACAACTTAGTGACTAAACAACAACAACACATTGTACCAATGCTAATTTCTTAGTTTTGCTCATTGTACTGTAGTTATATAAAATGTTAACCTTAGGGGAAATTGGGTGCAAAGATATACAGATACTCTGTACCACCTTAGCAACTCTTCTATAAATCTAAGATAATTTCTAAATACAAAGTTTAATAAAAAATATTTAACACAGAAAAGAAAAGGGATGAGGAAGGAGGACAGAGGACACTATATCACATCAGGCAACCAAAAATATTTACTGAGCACCAACCATGAGTAAAATCATTGTGGGAGACACCAAAGTCCCCTTGCCCTCAATTTTTAATTTAACACACTAATAAGGCAAAACAGTAAGTGTTTGATGCCAAATGAGCAAAGGTGTCTGTGTACATAGGAATGGTCAGATTTTTTTTGGAAGACCTCCATAAAATGTTAGCTACAGAACCCTGGAAAAGTGGTTCATGCATACCTAAATGAGGACAGTGAGAAGACACAATGAAAATCTCTATCCCCAAATGCTAGTCCCCCAAGCAAAGCGGCTGCATCACAACTTTGTGCGTATTACCTTAGTTTCAGAGTTACAAGACTTTGAGGAGGATGGTGAAGACCTTCACTTTCCTACCAGTGAAAAAAAAGGCATTGAACAAAATGAGCAGTGGGTGGTCCCTCAAGTGAAGGTGGAGAAGACCCGTCACGCCAGACAAGCAGCAAGTGAGGAAGAACTCCCAATCAATGACTATGTGAGTTCTGTGCACATTATTCTTATTTAGAGGAAAAACAAAGAGCCTTCACAAACCTCACTACCTCTCAGATCAAAGTCACTGAAAGGAGAATGGTCATTGTTTTAACAAAAAAAAGTATTTAAGAAACTTGGAATACGTAAAAGGCTCATTCAAAATCAATCTTGTCAATATTTCACCATAAATGATAATGGAAGGGAATATGAAAAAGAATATATATATATATATATAAATATATGTATAATTGAATCACTTTGCTGTACATAAAAAAATTAACACAACATTGTAAATCAACTCTATTTCAATAAAACTAAGTTTTTTTTTAATTTAAATTAAGAAAACTAAAATCAATCTTGATCTAGTCCATTGATATATCTCCAAAATCAGGCTCAGGAACTTAATTACTCACCAGGCCCCAACTTCTATAGTTTCATATTCCTCCCCTGTTTGGTGGACTTCTTCCCCTTCAACACTGGTTTCTTCTTCTTTCAGACTGAAAATGGAATAGAATTCGACTCCATGCTGGATGAGAGAGGTTACTGTTGCATTTACTGCCGTCGAGGCAACCGCTACTGTCGCCGCGTCTGTGAACCTTTACTAGGTTACTACCCATATCCATATTGCTACCAAGGAGGGCGGGTTATCTGTCGTGTCATCATGCCATGCAACTGGTGGGTGGCTCGCATGCTAGGGAGGGTTTAATAGCAAGTCTGAGCTCGAGTGCTTAAACTTCTGGCAGCCAACATATAACAAATGCATGCTATTCAATGAATTTTTGCCTATGAGGCATTTGGCTCCTGGTAGCCAGTACTCCGGAATTACTTGTAGGTAATTCTTCTCTTCATGTTCTAATAAACTTCTACATCATCATCAATGGCCTGATTGCTGCTGAACACACTGGGTAAGTGTTTGCTAAGAATATTTCCTGCAACTGAATGGAGCAGATCTGCCTCACGTGGAGGATGATGAAAACTTGCACTTCATCAGGTTTGGGGTGTAGGAAAGGGCAAAGCATAAAGATTCTCAAATATTGTATTTTACTGGAATGCATTGAAAAAGTGGAAATAGGGACTGATGATAAAATGCTCCCCCCCATAACTGATGCCTAAAACCATGTCCTTTTGTGCATATTCCAGTGTTTCATTATCTGAGAGACCTATTGTGGACTTACTTAAGCATCGCTTAAGCCACTGGACAGGCATTGAATCACAGCAGGCCAACACTAAAATATTCCAAGTGCTCAGACTCAGCAATGGAGAAAGCTAACCTAGCAAAAATGGTTCCAGGCCCTCCTGTGAATAAGAGCTCAATTTTGGACAAATGCAACACTTTATAACTTTCAGATATGATTTCTCTTTTAGATCAGTGTCTGGTTACATAACTTTCCAAGGCAATAAGCCTAGAAAATGGGGACCCATAAATATCATTCACAGAAATAGGCATTATAGGATATTACTGATGTGAGGAGTCCAACAGAATGCTGTTTTTCCTCCAAAACCACAAGAAACTAGCAGCATGGCACTTTCTTAAAGGAGGGGTAAGGCCTAATTTCTAATCATCTGATACTCTGCTTGGGAATGGGAAAAGGGGCAAAATAGAGAGAAGTGGTTAGAGGATCATGTTAAACTTGGAGTCCCAACCAATTCTAGTTTCAAAATTCCTGTTCTACTCATCTGTCACCCCTTCTAGTTTCATTGGCAGGTAGTCAGTTGTGTGTGTGTGTGTGCTTGGTTGTGTCTGACTCTGCAACCCTATGGACTATAGCCCTCCAGGCTCCTTTGTCCATGGGATTTTCCAGGCAAGAATACTGCAATTTGTTGCCATGCCCTCCTCCAGGGGATCTTCCCAACTCAGAGATAGAACCCCGTCTCCTGCGTCTCCTGCATTGGCAGGTGGGTTCTTTACCACTAGTGCCACCTGGAAAGCCCATAGTCCCATCATTGCTAAACTTCAAAGTTATTGTGTCATGAAATATCTGTCTGGCACTATTTTCAAAGAGTAAAATCTTCAGCTGGATGCCTGTGGGCCAGCAGTCATTTTCCCCCATTTAACAGCTGAGGAAGCAAATAGAAGCAGATTTGCCCAAGGCTGAGTTAAGATTAATCAGTCATTAATGCATAATTAGCATACATGCCATACTTAGATTACCAATTTTCATGGGATGAGAGCATAGTAAAACATATTTGACAACGCAACATCACTAAAAATATTTTACTGTTTTATTAATGATTTAGAAGTCATATGAGAATTTTGGGATACTTCAATTATCATAACAGGCATTAATTTTAGCTGAAATAGAAAAATATAAAAGATAAAAGTCTAATCTGAGGTTGTATGGACTTTACAATGTTCTCTATAATTTTTTAATAAAATTTTTGTTTTTAAGATTGACCAATTTTAAATTCCTAAGATGTTCTATTAGATGCAATCTACATTATTTTATACATACACACACACACACACACACACACACAGTGTTCTGTGGGGGATACAAATTAAGTAGAAGGCATACTCTTTATTGTCCAAGAAAAATAAGACATCCCAAATATACAAGTCCATATACAGAAACTTATACACAACCAACTACAGTTGTATATGACATGCTAAATGCGTGTGCAGACACACACACACACACACACAAGGAGTGCTGAAGAGGGTGTGGAGAAAAAGGAACCCTCTTACACTGTTGGTGGGAATGCAAACTACTACAGCTGCTATGGAGAACAGTGTGGAGAGTCCTTAAAAAAACTGGAAATAGAACTGCCATATGACCCAGCAATTCCACTCCTGGATATACACACCGAGGAAACCAGAATTGAAAGAGACACGTGTACCCAGTGTTCATCGCAGCACTGTTTACAATAGCCAGGACATGGAAGCAACCTAGATGTCCATCGGGAGATGAATGGATAAGAAAGCTGTGATACATATACACAATGGAATATTACTCAGCCATTAAAAATGATGCATTTGAATCAGTTCTAATGAGATGGATGAAACTGGAGCCTATTATACAGAGTGAAGTAAGTCAGAAAGAAAAATGCCAATACTGTATACTAACACATATATATGGAATTTAGAAAGATGGTAACGATGACCCTATATGCGAGACAGCAAAAGAGACACAGATGTAAAGATCAGTCATTAGGACTCTGTGGGAGAAGGCAAGGGTGGGATGATTTGAGAGGGTAGCAATGAAATGGGTATATTATCATATGTGGAGCAGATTGCTGGTCCAGGTTCAATACATGAGACAGGGTGCTCAGGGCTGGTGCACTGGGATGACCCTGGGGGATGGGATGGGGAGGGAGGTGGTGGGGGGTTCTGGATAGGGAACAAATGTGCTCCCATGGCTGATTCATGTCGATGTATGGCAAAACCCACTACAATATTGTAAAGTAATTGGCCTCCAATTAAAATAAATTAATTAATTTTTAAAAAGAAGTTTTCATATCATATGTGAGAGCTAAGAGTTCCTACTCACATTATTTTAATTCAGGAAGCATTTCTTGTTCAAATGCGATACCTCAACTTCACATGTTTCACACTGAGATAACTTCATACTGACAAAATGTGGATCCCCTTAATGAAGCAGATCATGAATTTCAAAGGAAAATACAAGGACATGCTGGAAGAAAGCATCCAAATCCTCTCATGCTTAGGAAAAACAAACCAAAACAGCAAACAGACCCAAATACATAAGTCTACCACTCACATAGGCCTGCTGCTCCTGCTGCCAAGTCACTTCAGTCGTGTCCTACTCCGCACGACCCCATAGACAGCAGCCCACCAGGCTCCCCCATCCCTGCAATTCTCCAGGCAAGAACACTGGAGTGGGTTGCCATTTCCTTCTCCAGTGCATGAAAGTGAAAAGTGAAAGTGAAGTTGCTCAGTTGCTCTTAGCGACCTCATTGACTGCAGCCTACCAGGCTCCTCTGTCCATGGGATTTTCCAGGCAAGAGCACTGGAGTGGGGTGCCATTGCCTTCTCCTCACATAGGCCTAGGTCATATTAAACAGGAAGAAAGTATGGTATCGCTCTCCCATCATAGATTTTTGCCCCTTGTTCAAGGCATGCATACAGTGGGGGTGACAAATAGATTCAAGGGACTGGATCTGGTAGACAAAGTGCCTGAAGAACTATGAACAGAGGTTTGTAACATTGTACAGTAAGTGGTGACTGAAACTATCCCCAAGAAAAAGAAATGCAAGAAAGCAAAATGGTTGCCTGAGTAGACCTTACAAATAGCTGAGAAAAGAAGAGAAGTGAAAGGCAAAGGAGAAAGGGAAAGATATACCCATCTGAATGCAGAGTTCCAGAGAATAGCAAAGAGAGACAAGATAACCTTCTTATGTGAACAACACAAATAATGGGAAAGACTAGAGATCTCTTTAAAAAAAAATTAGAGATATCAAGGGAACATTTCATGCAAAGGTGGGCACAATAAGGACAGAAATAGCAAGGACATAACAGAAGCAGAAGATATTAAGAAGAGATGGCAGGAGTACACAGAACTATACAGAAAAAGACTTAATGACACAGATAACCATGATGGTGTGGTCACTCATCTAGAGCTGGAATGTGAAGTCAAGTTAGCCTGGAATGTGAAGTCAAGTTAGCCTGAGGAGGCATTACTATGAACAAATCTAGTGGAAGTGATGTAACTCCAGTTGACTGACTTAAAATCTTAAAAGATGATGCTGTTAAAGTGCTGCACTCAATATGCCAGCAAATTTGGAAAACTCAGCAATGGCCACAGGACTGGAAAAGGTCAATTTTCATTCCAATCTCAAAGAAAGGCAAAGCCAAAGAATGTTCAAGCTACTGTCCAGTTGTACTCATTTCACATGCTAACAAGATAATCCTCAAAATCTAAGCTAGGCTTCAACAGTACATCAACCAAGAACTTCCAGATATACAAACTGTATTTAGAAAAGGCAGAGGAACCAGAGATCGGATTGCCAACATCTGCTGGATCATAGAGAAAGCAAGAGAACTGAAAAAAAAAAAACTACTTCTGCTTCATTGACTATGCCAAAGCCTTTGACTGTGTGGATCACAACAAACTGTGAAAAGTTTTTAAAGAGGTGGGATTACCAGACCACCTTCACTGCTTCCTGAGAAGCCTGTATGCAGGTCAAGAAGCAACAGTTAGAACTAGACATGGAACAATGGACTGGTTCAATCTTAGGAAAGGAGTACGTCAAGGCTGTATGTTGTCACCCTGCTTCTTTAACTTCTACGGAGAGTACATCATGTGAAATGCTGTGCTGCTTTGATCACAATTTGGAATCAAGATTATCAGGAGAAATATCAACAACCTCAGATATGCAGATGATACCACTCTAAAGCAGAAAGCAAGGAGGAACTAAAGAGCCTCTTGATAAGGGTGAAAGAGGAGAGTGAAAAGGCTGGTTTAAAATTCAACATTCAAGAAACTAAAATCATGGCATTGTTCCCATCACTTCATGGCAAATAGGTGGGGAAAAAGTGGAAACAGTGACAAATTTTATTTTCTTAGGCTCCAAAACTGAAGTCAGAAAGAGTTAAAAGATGCTTGCTCCTTGGCAAAAAAGCTATGACAAACCTAGACAGTGTATTTAAAAGCAGAGACATCACTTAATCGACAAAGGTTCATATAGTCAAAGCTATGATTTTTCCAGTAGTCATATATGGATGTGAGAGTGGACTATAAAGAAGGC